AATGAATTCTTGATTGCATCTCACATTGTCTCAATTATCAACTATCTAAGCTGTCAAATCACTCTCAGTGAAGGAAATCACATCTTATCTTATTCTTGAAAGAATTATTTGAGATTCTGTCAATCAGTTTTATTACAGAATTGCTGATAAGCAACAGCTGTGATACAATACTAACAGTTACAGATAAATTCTTAAAAGCTGTTATTCTGATCACTGAGTAAGAGAAATAAGACACTCTGCAATGAGTGAAAGAGTTCTATAGAGAAGTAGTCTACTACTGACAGCTCTTAATGATCATTATCTCAGATAGAGATTTCAAATTCACATTGCAATTTTGAAAGAGCATTCTTTAACAGATAAGAATCAAGAGCTGAATGACAATCATCTATAATTCTTATTCAAATGATCAGAGTAAGTGAATCAATCTCACTATTAAAATCACCTTGTAAGCACTTCTCATAGACAAGTATAAATCATCTTGAAGAATTCTACTCAATCAGATGAAAAGAGCTCTGAACTCAGTAGTCACTCACTCAGCAGTAGTCTTCTCATTTGAATTACTTATAAGAGTCAAGCTGAGGTGACTGCTGCTGAGAAATGAAGAAGTCTTAGTAGATACAGCTGAATTCATCATGATCTGTAACACTGTATAGCAGAATGCTCTAGATTTATACACTCTCACAAAGATTAAAATGACAGAATTCTTCAATCACTCTCACACTCAATCAGTTATTAAGATGAGTGACTTTGTCTTTCTTAATCTGATCTGTAAGAATGAAAAAGAATATACTGTTTAAGAATCTTCAAAGATCTTATCTCTATGAACTGACCTGTTTGAGATTATTGTAAAAGTCTTCAATATTATCTTTCATCTACTACTTCTCTTCAAGTGACACATATACTCTGTTATTTCTGTCATTTATTTAGAAAAAACACTTCTACATTCTGCAGATCTCAAATATTCACTCTCAGAGTCAGTCATTATAACTAATCAGTCTTAATTTGAAATCAAAAAGATCATCAGCAAATGCACAGAGAGAGAAAAAACATATCTTCAGATTAAGTGAAGAGAATATGAAGATCTGATCTGAGAATCTCTTAACATGATCACAGAGAATACTTCAGATCTTGTCAAAGTCTTTATAGCTAAGAGATCTCATGAGTGATCATGTCAAGCCTAAGAGAAACAGATAAGAAAGAGGATGTCATGAGTAGAAGTAATAAGAAAAAAGAGAGAAAAAAGAAAAGAGAAGAAAATTCATTATTACTATTTTTAACTACTGACTGCTAAGGAAAAGAAAAAAAGAAGAAAATAGAATAAAGAAAAGTAAAATCAGAGATCTTTCACTCATTACATTTATTTCAAGTCTCTTATCAATCATTTTCAAGCTCATGTTACAGCTTCATCTCCTGTTTAGTAAGATATGTATCTCAGAATGCAATATTCACTGATAGACTGTTATTCATGAAATCACTGAAGTATGTCTTACTAGACAATTATCATTGATGATATCATCTACAGCTGAGATTATATTAGTAAATTTCTCAATCTTATCTAACTTCTTTCAAGCAGTCTGCACAGTGTTCAGATTATGTTTATCAAGATTAGATAACTGTCTCAACATCTTCAGATTCTGTGTCATACAGTCAATAGTCTGACTCTTAAAAGATAAAATTGATGATTATCATCTGCTACTTATCTTGATATTCTCAATCACTCTGATAGAAGTTGAACTAGCATCTCTCTCACTAATTCAGACATGCTTGATAGGTTTCAGAGTGATCAGATTCAAGGTCTTTCATTTCAAGAGAGTGAGTATCTTCTCAGCAGAGATAAAGATCAAATCATTTTTATCTGTATTACTATCTTTAATAGTATCATCTCTGTCTGCACTCACAGTCTTCTTAAATCTCAGCATACTTCTCTTAAACAGCAGATTATCAGTATTTTTTTCAAACCTGTATCAGCTACAATAATTTAAAGAACAGCAGATATTCTTATTATCTCACTGACAGTTAATATAAGCATCATACTTCTGCTAAGTTCAGTTGTCATCTGAAGAAGTAATTATACACTCTTTGAATCACTCATGACTCACTGTACAAGACTGATAAGATATGAAAGCTATTTTCTCATGAGTTTGAAGAATGATAATATTCTGATTAGCTGAATCTTTGAGATCAACTATTCTCAGAGTAATTAAGTCATTATTCATTATCTATCACTGTAACTTTCATTATACAGATATTCATCTCAGCTGCTTGATTAACTGCTGACTGAGCAGAATAAAAAATTTATAATTTATAAACAGCATTTTCTCACTGTGTCTTATGAGTCTTTTAATAATTGATATAACATTTACAAGTTCTTCTACAGTCAGATTCTACATTATTAATACACTCAGCTGAGCTGGCTTTTCATTCTTCTGAAAGTATAGATCAGTTTTGTCATCATGATACAGATAGTGTATACAAGTCATATCTCACAGTCAAGATATCTGATCATCTTTAATAACTCTCTTTCACTCTGTTCTTCTCAGCATATTATTCTCTAATGTGCTATATTGCTTTCAACTATTTCTTCATTACTGTTTATCTGCTTCAGTCAGCTTCAGTTTCTCTTCATCTTTCTTCTCATAAATATCTTCTATCACTGACTTCACTTTCACTTCTATCTGAGCTACTGACTTCATCTTATCTTCAGTCACTGTCTCTGCATCTGTATCTTCATCAGAGAACTTACATATATTTGAAGATTATGACTTCTTCAGCTTAGTGAATAATATAATAAACTTTTATTTAAATCTCTCTATAGTTATATCTGAATCTTTTAAGCTTTCACTCTCAGATTTCTTCACTGACTTATCTGCAGCTTTCTGATCATATAATCTAGTCAACTGATAACAAGATATAACTGTCTTTTTCTCATCACTTCTTGAAACTATCTTAGACATTGAAGAATGAGATCTCAACTCTTCAATTTCATTTATCTTCTCTACAGTCTCAAGAAGAGCATTACACTCTTTCTGACTCAATAACTGAAATAACCTTTTCAACACTCTTCTTATGTTATCTCTGTCAAGGTGATTAATCTGATCAATCACTTCTCTCACATCTGATATTCTGAATATCTTTCTTGAACTCATTATCATAAGTTCTCTAGATTTCAATAAAAATTTTTTATAATAATGAGAATGATGATGAAAAAATAATAAGAAAGAGAAAAGAAAAATAAGAAGAAAGAGATAACTGATTATATTATATACTTACAGATTATTCACTTACATTATTCTCAGTCTTTTAACAGAAGATCTGTCTCTTTATTATTCTCAATTCTCTTATTCTCTTTCATCTGTATTCACTCTGTATTTTATAGTTCTTCATCTTTCATCTATTTATTCATTCTTATGACTTCTATCACCTTGTTATTTCAGATTCTTTATCTTATTCATAGTCATTATTTTATTATCATCTCATTGTATCTGTATAATATTCATAACAGATAAAGATTCTCTATAATATCTATCATCTTGTTATCTCACACTCTTTATCACTGTGTCATTATCATCTCATTATTTCAATCTCTTTCTTTACTCATCTCTTATACAAGAAGGGTATTAACCTGCATCTGAAAAATGCCTAACTCATTTCTTATTAGGTTTAACTTTTTTTCTATCATCTCATTTTCAGATGTCTGCCTCTTTTCAGACAGAGAGACTGTGACATTCACTTTTACTACTTTCTAAGACTTCTGTCTCTTTCTTTCTAAGGCTTCTGTCTCTTTCTTTCTGAGACTTTCACTTCTTTCTGAGACTTTTATCTCTTTCTTCTCTATGACATTCACTCTTACTACTTTCTAAGACTTCTGTCTCTTTCTTTCTGAGACTTTCATCTCTTTCTGAGACTTTCATCTCTTTCTTTCTGAGACTTCTGTCTTTTTCTTTCTGAGGCTTCTGCTTCTTCTTTCTAAGACTTTCACTTCTTTCTTCTGTAAAAGTCAATCACAATAAACAAACAAGCATGTATATATATATATATATAGGGGCGTCCGCCCATCTCCATCTTGAAGAATAAGACAAGATTTACCTTTTTACATGTATGATACGTGATCAGCATACACTACAGGTGATATATGCTGCAAATACTGTAAAGAAATGAATTGATCAAGAGACTGATTTTATAAGCAGTGAACACAGGCTTTTAATACATTATTCATTCTTGAGAATCTATGAGAGATAATTAATCAGATGTATTATCTATTCAAGAATCTGTATAAAGTAGATAGTTAATAAGATATATAATCTATTATTTAAAAATCTGTATAGAGTAGATAGTTAATTAGATACATAATCTATTATTCAAGAATCTGTACAGAGTAGATAATATAATTGATGAGATGTATAATCTATTATTCAAGAATCTGTACAGAGTATATAATATAATCGTGCAATATTACAGAATTGCACTTCACTTAATTATACATTAATCAGTGAGCTGTATTCACATCAAGAACCTCAAAAAGGAAATTTTTCACTTTTAATAATCAGAGTTTTCATCATATATTTGCTTCGCTTCGCTCTGCAAATAATAATCAAATTAATAATGAAATCATCAAATATTCTGATTCTGATCTCAGACATGATCACATGATCAGTCTATCTATAAGCACTTATTCTTACAATTTTTCACATCATTTCTGAAAAAAATGATTCATTTTCAGAATTTTTAGATACTCAGTTCTGATGACACTCATTCTAAGAAATATATAAGATCAGATTAAATGAGACTAAATGTGAAATTCATAGTCTCACTGGCTAGTCTACACTAACTCACATGTGAATTACATTATAGTTGATATTTCAGATTAAAAATTCATATTTTATATAGTTATATTTATATAGAGAAAGAGGAATAAAAGAATAGCAGAAATGCTGATCTGCACTTGTCAAGGTAGTTACAATTTATAACAAAGGACATAAAAAAACTTTAAGAGAAGTATGAAAAAAAAAAATGAAAAAAATGAAAAAATGAAAATGAAGAATATATATATATATATATATATATTAGGCGACAAACAGAACAGCAGAACAGTGCACAAGAACGCCGGGTACATTCCCTCCATTAATTCATTCAATTTACACAACGCACGTCTAGAAATAATAAAGAAATAAAAGTAACAGAGGGAAGTAGAATGCTTGCTAAACCCAGCGTGTCCATCCCTTAATGCGAGGACAAAAAAAATAAATAAATAAATAAAAATAAAGATACAAACTGAACTACGCAAGTGAGAAACGTAGTCAAAATCTAATGGTAGTAGAGAAAATTGAAGGTGGAGACAAAAAAGAAAAGTAAAAAGAGTCCGCGATCAGAGCATGCAGAATTTACAAATCAGCAACAACCATCAACCCATAGCCAACGGTCACCACGACACCCCATGAGAAGATACTCGCCGGGACACCACGCGTGATAAAGTGACGGACACGGAGGTATCTTTGGCCGGTTTCGGGGACTTCCATCATAATAGCAGCTATAAGTAAGGAAGGAAATGAGGTTAGCGGATGATAAAAGACGCAAATATGCACAAACAAGGCTCAAAATGTAGCTAGGTACTCACTCATATTCGGAAACCCGCTCGTCGGCAGGCCCATGGCGACAGAGCAAATGAGCGCACTTCCCATAACAAGCAGATTGGGATGGGGCTGATCCATGCTCGCGCCCACCTGTTTGACGAGTGGGAGCATAATGAGGGCGGCGACGGTATGCGAGATGAATGTCGCCACGACTAATATGAGGCCTGTAAATGTCAAGAGGACACCATACAAGCTGAAATTAGCCACGCGTTCCGTGATGGCTTTGGCGATGGTGTGCAAGAGACCTGACGAGGTGACGGCGCGTCCTAGACAAAGACCACCCGAGGCGAGGATAATGATGGTCCAGAGGAAATTATTGAAGTCTTCCTTGGTGAGGATGCCAGTGCCAAAAAATAACACCAGGGGGATGATGGCGATGACGCCCATGTCGCCGAAGGTCTCTTCGAGCTCGTGGCTGACGCACCAGAGGACGATGGTGAAGAGAGTCACGAGAGTGATGAACCATTGCACACCGGAGAATTTGTCCTTGACGGGCCGGATGGGGACAATGGTCGTGCCACGGCCTGGGCGGAAAGTGATGAGGAGGAGAAGCCAGGTTAGGATGATGCAGATGATGCAGACGGGAAGGGCGATGAAGAACCAGGTACCCCAGCTTATCGCAGGGGTCATATTTTGGAGGGCGATGATGTTCTGTGGGGAAGCAATTGGGGACGCCGCACCGCCGATGTTGGAAGCTAGGGCGATGCCGAGGATAAGGGCTTTGGTGAAACGTGAGTCGGTGGGGAGGTTTCGGAGCATTGGCTGTTTGTTTTATTAGTCGCCATCAGTCAATCAGATATATTGAGCATTGTTTGTTGGAGGAGAAAGTCTTGGGAAATAACTAACCTGGATGATGGAGAAGCACAAAACCGGAGCTGCTACATTGCTAATGAACATACTCAAGATCATACTGACAAACATGTTCGTGACCAAAACAATTCGTGGTTTCGTTCCCGCTTTGCTCAAGACAAACGTTGCCATCCTGCGGGCAATGTCATATTTTGACAACGCGGCAGCAATGGTAAAGCCACCAAGCAAGAGCATGATAACAGGCGTCCACATTGCCGCGAAAGCAGCTCCGGCTGCTTCTTTGGTGTTCAAGCGCCTATAAGGCTGCTCTTCGGTTCGCATAATGCGAAGAGTGACCACAAGGAAGGGGACAAGCAATGATGTGACGAAAAGGGGAATCGCCTATATTTACCATATCTTTTATCAGTATATTATACCAGACGCCCGTAGAGGTAAAAACAACAGTGTACCTTACCTCAGTAGACCATAGCAGACTGACGAAAACCAACATCGCTAGACAATTCTGTTGCTCTGGCTTCGACATAATGGGAAGTACTAGCATAACAAGGAATATAACCACGATGCCGATCAGCGTGAAAAATGTAGAGCTTAGTAGCCACGCCGGGACAGGACATCTTCCTACAGGAGTCACAATCTCCTTGGTAGTGGGTTCCAGCTCATCACCCTGTCTCTGTGCAGTCAGGGGGTCCTGATCTCCTGCAAGAAGTGTCCTGCGTACGCCCATATTGGCCGCTTGTGCTTTGCGTTCAATGCCAATCATTTCTCGCCAGACCGTGTTCCGTTCCCATACAACATGCTCCCTGAGATGTAATCTCAATTCCCGTTTAGAAAGTGCGAGGTCACCCTTAGTGACGAGGTCTGCATAGAGCTGCTCGATTCTGGCAATATGGCCATTGAGTCGCTCCATTACGGGATTCGTAAACGGATAGGCAGTTGAGACCGTCGTGTTCATATACTGGCGTCTAAGGCTGCGGTCAAGGATTTTATCATACTTCTTCAAAGCCTTCGCGAAGCCCGTCCGATTTAGTTGGATGAACGACTTGAGGTCGCAGAGTGAAACGTAGCTGCTAATGATACGTTTCTTCAGCGATACGCCAGCATTATACAATGCGGAATAGCTTGGATCGACTGTAGAATCATGATCAGGATCGAAGCCACCACCCTGAATTCTCGATTCGCTCATATCGCTCACGATACGATCTAGCGGTTCGCTAGCTGCATGCTTGTGATAGTCCTTCCAGGAGGAGCGACGACGGCCATCCTGACCCCGGGACTCATCCATGTCCATATCATCATCAGTGTTGGCGTCCGGATTATTAGCAGCTTCTTCATCCGCTGCGATTTCGCTGGCCATGCTAGCGCGCACATCCCTGCCTTGTGCATCCCTGCCCCCACCTCCGAATCCCAAATTGCGGAGAGGGCCTTCAAGACGACGTCGAGCATTGAAGCTCAGTGTGCGAGTTCGGACTACTGTGTTCCCGACGGAATCCATATCCAACCCTTTCGTTTCTTGGATATACGCTTCTTCATCTCTGACAACGCTTTCAACCTCTTCGTAAAGCTCTGTCTCAGTTGGCTGGAAGAAAGAGCATATCTTCTCTAGCTCGCCGTCAAGAGCACGGCGGAAGACAACATCAGTGTCCACGGAGGCATCGAGGAGGGGAGCGGACTCGACATTTTCGCCTGCTTCGTCGACGCGATTGACCTGCCTTTCGAGCGAGTATATCCTGAACACCACCAGACAGGAAAAGTTTTAGCGATAGTAAACAAAAGCAAATCTTGTAACTGTACCAAAGGGTAGCAACGACTTCAAACGGAATAGGATAGATTATCATAGCACAAGTTCGTTAAAAGGGGCATAGTTGGAGACAGAACAGTAACTCACAGTTTCTTCAGATTGCTATACGCAATATAAGAGCTGCTCCAGTCCGGCACGGCATTGAACTGGATGCTGTGGGAGAACTTCATAATGTCGTTGTCAACCCTTGCCCGGGTAATAGGTGTCTCCCAACGGCGCCGTCCTGTATTCCTATTCCTAACAACACCCCCCTTCTCAGAATATTCGTCGTCAGAATCCTGCTGTGCTTCCCATTTATCTATTCCGCTTTCAAGTGATTGCCTCGTTCCAACTTCCGCAGGTTGAGCAAAATAACCCTCTACTCTTTTCCACCACCGTCTCGGAGCAACAGCTGAACTGGGAGCAGAAGAAGCAGGATCCGATGCACCTCTTCCTCCTCTTCTATCCTTTTTGACGAGGCCTAAGCGGTCACGGTGAAGGTGGTGTGGGGGGGATTGTAGACCGTTTGCGGCGGAGGCAGTAGTGGTTGAGGCGGAGGAAGGACGATCGAATGCGACCAGCTCGATGCTCCGGGGGCTCTGCGGGTGAGCCAGGGTGACGGTTTATATGGCCAACCGTTGGAGAAAGACAAAATATCAAGGAGAAGAAGAGTAGGGGCTTGTAATGGGGTGGATTGCTGGATATAATAAGCTTTGGCTGGTGGTTGACTTTTTGGTGGTGCTGCTGGAGAGTTCTCGGGCAAACCTTGGATTGGAGGTGGTGTTTGTTGATACTTATTTCATATCTACTTTATTAACGTTCGTTCGTAAGGTCAACAACCTAGGATATTATTATTCGCGTGACTGTCTTCTTCTTCTTCTTCTTGTTCTTTTTTTTTTTTTTTTTTTTTTTTTTTTTCCTGCTTCACTTTGTGAATAATGCCGGGTTGTTCCAGAGCAGAAAAGTGTGGCTAAAAACGCTAGTTTTAATAGCTCGGGAATCGTTAAGCAACAACTTGCTCTCGAAGTCATCAATAATAACTAATCCCAACAGCCGAATAGGGCAAAGAATTCCCTGGCAGAGGCGACAGCACATTGGTGACAATGACGACAATAATAACTACATAATATTTATTATTAATAACGACGTGTTTCACACCCCAGCCCGAGACCTCTCCTATCGCAATCGTTTCGGCAAGGAAAATTGTTCGAATACCTAATATGATTAATATCATCATCACCACTGCCGGGGTTTGGCGACCAAAAAACGTTCAAACACTGCGCAATCACCAACGAATCACCATCCGTCCATTGTCTACCTTTTCTCTTTCTTTTTTTTTTCTATTCCCCCAAGTCTGGGCCCTGGACAAGGGCTTACATATACGGTTTGTTTGGCCTTTGACCCCTACTAGTCAGCGGCATATCCGCAATTCCCTATTCCCGTGCAGCAATGCAGGGAATCAATTGGCCCGTAGTTCAGGGTCGCTGGAGAACAAAAAATGATCTAGATCAAGCATCAAAGGAGTGAATCCCACCAGCACCAGTGTGAAGACGCTCAAATCGCGTGGACTCCGAGAGTACATACAAGAGGACGATAGAGGCGTGGATGGTGTATACGTATACTACGTACAGGAGTTGACACCCCCCCCCCCGCACTACTCCGTACGCAACCAGCTAATAAATGAACGGGATCAGAGATGTTGTCGCTTCTACCGTGCCAGGCAGGGCAGATGACTTGACCTGAATACGGGGGGATTTGAAGAACTATTCCCGTCCATCGAAGCCACCAACGGAACAAAGACAACACCAACGCCCAGCTGACCCGCAAACACTGTGGCTAGCGTCTGACATCGCTTCTGACATCGCTTCTGACAGACTGACAGGCGATCCATCCATGCTATTTCAAGGGTTGAGAATCCCTGCTATGTAATCGCGGAAGATACTAGTAGTAGTAGTTACCCTCTCATTAACCGCAGGCAGAAATATCTGTCGCGAGAAAACTACCTCTCTGCGTGGACAATTTGCGGTTATCAGATGAACCATTGACATATCAATTGACACGAATATCTACAGACTATTTTGAACAAAATAGCATCAGGTATCCTCATGAACCATATCGCTCTTGTCTTCTACCCTCACAGGAGGTCATCTGTCGCCTGCTGCCTAATACTTGCCGCAGCTCTTTTTCTTTTTCCAGTCTGGGGAAAAAAAAAAGAAGAAGAAATATCTTGTCAGTTGAGTCCACGTATGTATGGCAGAGGTCTCAAGGTGCCAAAAGTCTCCTTGGACGAAAAACGATCACCAGATGAACGAATTATTAGGGGAAACTTACCCTTCACCCACCTCCTCACAAACTTAACTTCCTCTGCCTGTGCCTTTACCACGGGTTTCGGCGGGAGATCCGGTGTGGTCTCATTCGGAAACAAGCCATTCTCATCCCCTAAAAAACATGGAGGAGTTCTAATTAACAGAGATCCCAACAGAAAGTGGAATCAACACTCACAATGGTGACCCGCCCCCTCTATCAAAATAAACGGCTTGTTGATCGTGTTCTTTCGTGGTCTAGCCCCTTCCGCATGAGGTCCTGCTGGACGCCAAGGGTCGACTTCTCCATCGACGAAAGCCAGCCGATCATATTCAATGTCCAACCCGCCATACTTGTTGACCCTGTCAATATCCGATGGCTTGTGGATGTCAAAGGCTTTTCGACACATTATGCTGGCGTACTCGAGGTCGACTAGGCGCGAGATCACGGGCATTTGGTCTTTGGGGACGGTGCTTCCGACTTGGAGATAGCCCCATCTATTAAAAAATTGAACAAGACCCAGAAGAGTCAGTCCGGATTCTTGGATATAAAATCCGAGGTTTCTACCTGGTTTCGCTCCTTCTTTCATCGGATCTAAAAAAAATCTCGGAAGAAGCACGGGACAAGGGATTCCACTCACTCTGTGCAAACCTGATATGGCCAGCACCGATAGTCCGCTAGCGCAAGGCTATCATTCTTAAACCACGGCAGCTCATGTTGCCCTAGACATTCGTCCAGTGTCTGCTCCCTCCTCTCACAGCCAGTCACTTGATCGACATAAACGAAGCCGGCGAAATTGAGTAGTCGATTCGCCAAAGCATCTGCTTCCTTCCCATAACCTCCAGCAGTAAGGAGCTCCTTCGCCTCCTCCTTCTTATCACCGTTGTCATACAACAACTCATCTGCCGTGAGGTTTCCGCAGTAGTAGTCGAATTTCCGCGTCGAGATGGCCGGGTCCCAGTTGACTGACTGCCAATAGCTGATGCCCCACGCAAGGGAATATACAAAGTCATCGTGATGGGTCAGTTCTCCCAGACCGAACAGGGATTTCAATCTCTTCGTTTTTTCGGAGTCGTTGAGGCCGATTATGATTTTATCGACCATGTCAACGAATTTTTGCGTGGTGGAGATACATTCTGGCGGGCCGTATTTGCGGACAGGCTCGAAGTATTCCCAGAAGTCGTAGATGGCCTTTGGCACGCCTGAGGATGAGATGGCGCCCCAGAAGATATCGGGATACTCTACGCGAAGGAATGCCTGCGTACGATATCAGTGCCTGGACAATTGAAACTGTCCAGGGTACTCCTCGCCCTCAGAGAGAAATATACCAGGAAAAAAAAAAAAAAAAAAAAAAAAAAAAGACATACCACCTGCGCCCCGGCATACGACCCTCCATAAATAATCCACGGCGCATTACCCCCCTTCGCCGTCAAATCCACATCCTCAAACCCCTCAAACACAACATTCTGCGCAAAATACGCCGAGTCCGCCAACGCCTGCTCGGTGGTCAAGAAACGCAAACTCTCCGTCGACAGGTTCGCTGTCGGGAAGCTCTCGCCATAGTACCGGTGTTCAAGGATGACACCAAGGCCATTGGTAGCCTCGCTGAGAATTTTCACAATGCCCTTTTGCAGGAATGGGAGGCGGCCCTCGCCGTTTGTCTCACCGCCGTGTAACACGATTATCGGGCCGCCTTTCTTGTAATGGCTGGCATCGAACCAGTAGCGAACATCGAACTTTTCTTCCGTGTGGGGTTCGTAGCGTGGGTCGGAGCGGAAGTGGTCTATGGGGATTTTGATTTTATGGACTGGGTAGCGGGCTGTTAGGTCATCTTTGTCGGATTCTGTGCTGGGGGTTGAGACTGTGTTTCTCCACTGATTGATTTGCAAAAAATTAGTTAAGTTTTTAGCCGTAAGATCGTCAGAGGTGGGACAGGATAGTATATATATAACTCAATTGCATTTTTTTGGGGGGAATGACAGGCAACAGGAAGAAAATACTAGGGATCATTTTTCTTCTTGGCTTCTTCTTCTTCCTCTTGTCTTTCTTTTCTTTTCGTTTTTTATTATTCCCCCTGTTAAAATAAAGTATGCACACGTCCAATAAGCATGGGGTTATTCGGTAACCTTACACTCGCAACAACCGACTGTATCAAGGCGAACACCAATACAAGGCGCAGAGCCACCATCGATCTGATCGCCATGTTATATATGTACGTCGGATTCGAAATTCGAATCAGATTAGTTCAAAATACCACACAAATCATCCCTCTCTCGTCCTTTGGAAGTTTCTCGCGAAAAAAAAAAAAAAAAAAGAAAAAAAAAAAAGAAAAAATTGGAAAAGAGGAAATCGAAGCTGGAAATGAAGTATGCTGCCCGTCCCCGAAAACGGAAATTTTCGCTCCTGCGCCAGGGGCAGTAGGTATGGTTATGCTGCAAGTAAAATCATCATACCAAAACAAAAGGCCCAGCGAGAACACCTGAGTATTTATGTGCCGACTTCTAGCGGGCTGGAAGGTGAGAGCAGCGGAGGAAGATCGACAGCTGTAGTTCTCGGGGATGCAAGCATGGATAGGTGTAAAACTACGGGCAAATTGCCCCAATCAATCCCCCCAACCCGTTAAGATGAAGGATGGGATGGAGACTGGTTTGGTCGGTTTCCGAAGATTTTAGCGGTAGCTGGATCGTGCTAGAATGGGCGGTTTCTTTGCGGATAGAGGAGCATAAAGTGCTCCATCGCAGTGTTAAAAAGACACAAAAGGGCAGGGTTGAACCAGCGCCGTTGTCTTCTCTCCCCGTCCCCCCCGTATTCCATGCCACCTCACTGCATACCATACCGAGCCGTATGTAGGTTGCCGTCTATGTTGACTGTGGGCCGCCGAGGACATCCGTTGAGGAGATTTGAACAGTGAAGGTGAGGTGGGAACCGATGCCGCGGACAACAACGCCTCGTATACCATGCAGGTAGCCTATAAGTGGTATCTTCGGAAACCAAACGCTTGTACAGTCTGTATACAGACAGGCTTGTGAATGTAAGGAGAAGAAGTGCAAAATATCCCCCCCGCGCGCTGCGATTTGTTGGCTGCGATTCCTGCCTGACTAAAAGAAACGACTTTCAGGGCTGGAACGCTGTCTGGCCGATCGCGTTGTCTCGGCTAGATGTCTAGTATTTATTCCAGCTGGGGAAGGGGAGGTGTGCTTGTTTAGTACTCTGTTTTGGCTCATGTTCAACACTGAGAATATCTACTGTGGAGGATAGGATGCTGGCTCATTGTTCCTGAATGGAAGATCCAGGGGGGGTTTTGCAGAGATTAGTTATCTGCTGGCGCTCCAAGATTCCGAAAAGTTTAACGATCACAAAAAACAACAAAAAGCATTTCCCTGGGTTTCCTATGTTTTCGTGCATTGCCATGTGTGCCCGCAGCGTGGGCCTTGCATTTGAGAGAATATATGAGTGAGGGTGGATGCAGGCCATTGCAGGGCAGAGTTATGGACAAAGAACAGAAACACGCGATGGCCACGAGGGAAGGGGAGGAGTCAACATAGAAGATTCCTCTTCTGAATTCTAATAACAAAGATGCAGTGTGAAAAAATATGAGGATTTGTTTATTTACACTGTAATTATTCTTCCCAAGGCTTGTTTCTCTCTCTCCACTTTGGTTGGTTGCAGCTATTGAAATGTTTTTGCGGGCTGGAGTGGACAGGGTGGAAGGGGTTGCTTCAATCTCAACCGCCTCTTTTTGCTGGATACCCAATCTATGTCCCTTAAATTCAAGAAAGAGAAAAATTATATATGCAATAATAGGTGTATAATAGTGCAACCCACTAGGTTAGTTAGGCTTGTTCATAATGACTCATCCCGCATCATCAGCACTCATCTAGCATAAGAATTATGCATCCTGACATAATTATGTATATATAGAAAATTTACTACCAATTCAATCATTTTTGATAATTGCATTTACAAGGAACATGAGGGGTAACCTGGGATGAACAACAAAAAACTAGCCATGTGTAACTGAGATAGAAAAAAATTAAAGTAAAATGAATGTTTGTTATAATCTGTAATTGTTGCTTATTTACAACAATACTTAGTAGGGCAATATATCACTTGACGCAAAGTTGTAGATTCCGCGATATATATCTGTCATTCCTCTCCGTATACAATAAACGAACAAGGACTCATCTCTACGCTGTAGAATCACCATGTATGTATACACATGCAGGCGTAGTAAAAGGTCAAGACCGCCTGCACTCCGAAGATAAGGAAGGATCCTCAAATCCCGCCGCTGAGTAGAAGGAGGATAAATAAGGGGCGAACGGAATGGAGAGAAACGGACAGAATCCCACATCATGCTCGCCCTAACCGCTCTGTTGAATCCAATCGAGAACAAGGAATGCATTGTTAGGTAAAGTACCTAGATAAGTTTATCTCATTTTCCTTCCTTACCCCAACATTGTTGGCCCCAATCCGAATATTCCAATGCTTAAATTCCCTTTCCAATCAATACCCTTTTGCCCCCTATCCCCAGCCACTTTAATGCTGTTTCAGGGGACAAGCAATCTACCCTCCCTACCTAACCCCCCTTGAAGGCTCCACAAAATGAACGAAATGATGACATACTTCCTCCAACCTGCCAAACCTCAAAACATATAAATGAGGCATGAGGCATCTCGAAAGGGGTGAAAATAGGAAGACAAGCCCTTTTTTCAGAGAATTGGAGAGCCGACATCGTCTGATTCGTATACTCGTTTCTCTCCTTCCCCGTGTCTTTGACCTTTGACAATTTGCTGCCTTTCTTTTTCATTAAGGGCGGAATAGAGTGCTAATTAATAGTCGTCTTGTACGAGAAATTCAAGTTTCCCTTTCCGCGCGCCGGGTTGGGAAGTGAAGTGAGGGAGGCAGAAGGAACAGGCAATGAATATCATGTATAGGAGGAAGACAACAAAATAAACAGGCTGATCAAGGATGAAGAGAAGGAACAAAGAAAAAGTCAAACTGGACACAGAAACACAATGGTAAAGGCAAATATGAATCAATTTAGTTTTTATTTAAAAAAAAAAAAAAAAAAAAAAAAAAAAAAAAAAAAAAAAAAAAAAAAAAAAAAAAAAAAAAAGAACGAAAGAAAGAAAAGAAAGAAAGAAAGAAAGAAAGAAAAAGGAAAAGAAAAGCAAAAAAAAAAAAAAAAAAAATTGGAACTGCAGCAAGAGAAACAGGCTAGCAACAAAAGAACAAACCAGTACCAGAACCAGAATTAAGCGAGTCAAAGCTCAACCCAATATGAGAAGAACTTCTACACTCACCAATCCATTTACTTTCACCTGAAAAAAAAATGAACATGAAAGTTCAAGAAACCCAACCCCACCAACCAAAACCGAAGGAAAACATCCTAATCATGAACTCTTTTTACGCAACATTCCTCTCAACGCGACAACCTCTCCTTCCCACCTGGCAGCCTGCATCTTCAATTCATCCCTCTCCCTGCACACGCTTTCCAGTGCCCGCTCTAGCTCCGCAACGCGATCGTGCTGCTTCTGGCGGAAGCGGCGGGCTGCAAGCGTGTTGCGTCGTCGCTTGTCAGCGGCACGGTCCGTTGGCCCTGCTTTAGTCACTGCAGAAGGAGACCGTGGAGTTTGCGTTGATGAAGGGGTAGAATGTTGAGTGTTGGTGAAAGAAGGGGCTGGGGAAGTGCTTGTGAATGGAGTCGGTCGTTGAGATGAAGATGGCTTTGGCTGGATATGGTGAGTTAGAACCGGTGATTGGGATGGTGGTGGGATGGCTGCACCGCGTTGTAGATGCATGATGTTTTGATTGTGAATGCTTTGAGGAGGAGACATAAAATACTGTCCAACGTTGCTTGGCCGATGGTTGAAATCTGGTAGAGAATATTGCGTATCTGGTGGCGTTGATGTCGCGAACGAATCTATATTTAGTGCGTTAAAAAATAGAGTCCTCTTTTCTCTCTCTCTCTTCTTACAAATTGGGACAGTCTCTTTCTGGGGACGCGGGAGTGGGACTTGAATCAACAGTTATACGGCCATTCAAACGAAGAAAATAAACAATTTAAATTGAAACCCACCTTGCGCAGTCAGTAAAAGCGATTCATCAAAATCTAGCTCAACCCCTTTGGAATATGGGTATTGGAAGTTGTATTCAGCAATAGCAGCAGAAACAGACGCACTGGAGCGTGGATTTAACAATGTTGACGCCGCCTCGGTTTGCAACCCAGTCTCGGCTGGCAATAATACCGGGGAGCTAAGCGACTGGTCATCCTGGTTGAGATTATGGTCAAGCTCAAGCAAGTCCAACCAGGGTGGCGTCGGGGCAGTCGTAGCAGCGTTAATATCGTGTGCATGAGAAGCAAGCGCATCGGAATGTAGGGGAAATGCGAGAGAATCAGAGGGCAGATAGCAATTGACGAAGGGGGTATCATCCTCCCTCAATTGGTTTGAAATATCATTATTTTGTTTGTACTGGGGGGAAGCGAGTGAAGATGGCTGCCGGAGAGAAGCCGAAGAATGAATAGATCCGAGAAAAAATGAGGAAGAAGAAGACAAATTTGAAGCTGCAGGAGCAGCGGTATAAACAGAAGAAGCAGCAGTAAAGGACGGTAAAGACTGGCATTGGGTTTGGAGAGAAAGAGATTCATCGTCATTGCGCACGGGGAATCCCGACGGGGCAGTACCAATGTTATTATGTTGAGAATTGCTAGTATTGCGCCGTTCGAGGTGAAGATTGGGATTATGGCGGTTGGAAGAGGATGAAGAGAAGGGATGGTTGGAAGAATGGGAGGTAGGATTGGGTGGGCGCACATGTAGTAGGTATTGTTGCCGCCATGGCGATATGTTGTTGGGGGGTTAGAGACAGGCCCTCAGCGGGCAGGAGGTGCAGTGGACAATATGTTCAGTCTTCTCGTCTGGAGGAGAAAATGGAGGAGGGTGAGGAAAGAAAAGAAGAGAAAAGAAAGAAGAAGAGGAGAGAAGGGGAGGAGGGGACGGGATAGATGGATGAAGTATGAAGTTGAAGGAGGCTTTATTAGGGTTGCCGGACTTGGCCAAAGAGGGCTAGCTGCGGCTGAAGAGTCAGCCCCAGACGATCGACCCTGTATGGATATCTACAGCGTAATCTACTCTACTCTCCAGATCCAATGGGAATCACAGGAGGTAGTGCAACAGTACAAGGTAAGGTGACAGGGAAGCAAGGAAAAAATCAAGGACTTCAAGGGCTGGAATCACGCCTATGCCATTCGTACCTACTGGATACAATGCATGTGAGTTCCGAAACCTGTAAGGTGCGGCCAGCGAGCGAACTACATAATTCGTAGATTCAGTGAGACTATGGCTTTGTAGGAGCTCATGGTCTTCAAACTGATAAAAATATATATATATATATATATATATCAAACTCTTGAAGAAGTCGACATAAAAGAGACCGCACCATTGTCTGCAATATACTATACACATACATACATAATAATAACCCTCCCCACAAAAGTAACCCTAGAAAGCGAACACCATGGTTGAACTAAAACTTCTTCTTCCCCCTCATCCCCAACGCCTTAATATTCGCTCTCGCCGCCGTACCCTGCTTATGCACCATCGCCCTCTTCTCCCATGCCGAACTCTTCCCCTCCGCCACAGCAATAATCTCCTGCGACACTCGGTTCGCCAACGCGGCATCCTTCCGTTTCTGAGACGCATCGATAATCCACTTAATGGCTGTTCGCCGGCGTTGCCGGAGTGCCAGCGGAAGCGGGATGGGGAGAGATCGGCCACCACCGGCTGCGCCGGGTTGTTGCTTGATGCGGAGTATTGGTGCGACAGAGTCAACGACTAGGGTTAGGTAGAGGATAGGATTTAGGGGCAGTTGCGGGGCAGGCGGCCCGGGAAGCAATGGGCGTGATGGGTCTGGGTTGGGCGCTGGGGCGGAGCGGAGGTTGTGTAGGATTGTTTCCATTTGCTGTGGTTTTGTTAGGCTCGTGTATATAAAAATGCAATATGTATGGAGATATGAATGCTCACCTTCTGCGCAGCACTCAATTTTCCGTGCCTCATGAGCATTTTTGTAAACTGGTCCAGCAGAGGGTCATAGCGGTGCCTCAAATGTTCGGATCTAGGTAGTGTTTCGGGCACTTCATATTTGAGTCCCGCCTGCAACGCCTGCTCTTGCTTCTGCTCCGTGGCAGCGGCAATCATATTCTCGACAGCCGCAATCGACGCGTCGTTCCCACCAGCCGACATCTGTTTCATATCGAACTGTCTCGATCTAGCGGAAGTAGAAAAGGATCTGGAGCCAGAGGAGCCAGAGGATGATGAAGAGGAGCTCAGCTGATCCTGTAGGACTTTGGGTGCATTTTTCATCGCATCTTTATCCCGCTTCAAAATCTATAAAAACACAAAAGTCAGTAAAATGCGAAGCCCTAAAAGATTCCAAATCAAATCCACTCATGGAAAATATGAAAAGGAACGGAAATCAACATACATCCCCAACCATACTGCCCTGCAACAACTCCGGGCCCCCAACCTCCCCACACTCCGTCCTCCGCTCCATAATCCTCGCCACGTCCGCTGCCTCCTCACTCACACTGCCTAACCCTTCCTTCGCCGCTTTCGATTCCGCTCCCTCCTCACCAACGATCCTCTCCGCCTTTCCCCCATTCACCTCATCACCGGCCTTCGAAGATGAAGACTCCATCCGGCGCTGGGGAGGCGAAACGCGAGGCCGATACGCCAGCACCGCAGCGCCTGGGCGACGGGGTAGAAGATCCCTCCTAGTTGAAAAAGAGCGGATGGCATTGTCGCGACCACTAGATAACGACGATGTAAATCTCGCTGCGGTGCATTGTTGGGGCGCTGGGGATTGGCGGAGCAGGGAGGTGGGAAAGAGGTTGAGTCGTGGTGGCATGATTGCAGTTTGTCCCCTGTATACCCTTTCGCTTTATTTATATCCCTCTCTTTTTTTCCTTTTTGATATATCTTGCCGATGGTGGTGATGGTGGTGGTGGTGGTGGTGGTGGTGGTGTCGGGGCTTGTTGGTCTTTTAAGGTGAAAAAGTCAATTGCTTTGGATGTAATTTGTAGGTATCTCTCTGCTGTAAACGAGAGTTCTGTAAATTCGCTCGTTCCCCTATCTCCCCCTTTTCTATGCAAGTATATATCCGTCTCACGTCCTCGCTACCCATCCAAATCCAATCCGCGCGTCTGTGCAGGCCACGGTAAAGCTTCCTTACCTCCGAAAAGCAATAGGGAAAAGCGATGAAAGTAGACAAAGAAAAGTTTTGGAGTTAGTAGCGGTATGAGTATCCGCCTGAATAGAGGTGCTTGTCCACAAATGTAGTCTAGCAATAGGAAACTGGAATGCAATTGAACCCGACCTCCTGTGGCTATGAGGGCGTTGCAGGAGGTTAAAGCACAAAGAGAGAGAAGGTTGGAGCCGGGTAAGGTTTGATACTTTGTCTGATTAGGAATAGGCGCCAAGACCGAAACCTAAATGTCACATGACTGAATGATTGAGCGATGGGAGCCGAGATAGGAAAGAGGGGAAATGATAAATACCCAGGTACATTTGTCAATTTGATTCTCTCCTTTTAGTTCTCTAGCTGAAAAAAGCGAGAAGGAGACAACAACGGGTAGAAGGAACAAGAATCATGGCCCTACTCAGGTCATATAGACGAATCGCATACATTCTTCCCAACTCAGCCAGAAGAAAAGAAAACCGAATATATGGGGGAAAAAGCACGTATAGAAGAAGATCCGAATATGAGCCCCAAAAGGAAAACAGATGAAACACAGCAAAACGAGACAGCCGACTGAAGCCATCGTGGAAAGCATTTGGTCTTGTACGTACATGGGCCTAGCAGAGCCTTCTTAAGGAAATCAATAAAATAAATACAAATGGATCGCATGCTCAGCACTCGCCATTAATTAAAAAAAAAGTTAAAAATGTAAACATGTGCAACGAAAATGGAAGGGCTGGCGGGGGTGGGTTTGTTCAGTTTTACATAAGAAAGGGGGGAAAAGCCGATATTGTTCCTGTCGGTTGTTGCTGTTGCTGTCACCGTTAGTATAAGAAAAAGAGCCAAGCGATCAAGGAAAAGTAAATCGAATAAGACACAAGATGAGAGATGAGATATGAAAATATCGGAACCGTTCTTCAGCCCGGATGGTAGGGGATTTTCAAGGACACTAGCCAGAAAGGATGTAGGTGAGCAGATAATTAGACACGTATTGGATAAAAGAGACAAAGAAACAGTCCAGAATCCCCAACTGATATTGAAATAACCTTTGAAAATATTTCTTCTTTTTGTGATACAGCCCGCACAAAAAGAAAAATGAGAACAAAAAAATCACAGAAACTTATTGAAGACAAAGAAGATGGGTTTGGGGTGGGGTGCAGTGAGCCGTGAAAATGTATATGCAATGAGGACCGGAATGGGGAAATATCGAAAGCGTCGTTGTCAGTTGGGTTTGAGAGGGTGGTTGGGTTGGGTTGTTGGAGTGCGAGGAAATGAGAATAGGAGAGTGGGAGCCAAGACACAGTGGTGAGGGAGGAGAAAACAAAAGAAGGAAGAAAATGAAAATGGGAAGAAAAATGATTGTTAAGCCGTGTGAATAAAACAGTCAAATGGTACATTTAGGAGGTGGATCCAGTAGCCAGGTTAGCGATGCTGGAGAAGATGCCACCGATATCTTGCGCATCGTCGGGGTAGACGTAAAAAGCGAGGGCGATGATGAGATACCTGATTTATGTTAGCTCATCCGGATATTATGAAATAAAATAATTAGGAATAATAGGGAAGGGAAAGCAGAACAGAGATGGGATGAAAGGGGGAAAAAAAAGAAAAACGTACATCCCAAGGCAAAGCCCTCCCTCAAGGTAATTCGACTTCCCATCTTGAATAAGCAACGTCACAACAAGCTGCGACAAGAAGAAAGTGACAGTCTCAAACGAGTGGAAGTGGAGCGTCATATCTCTCCCCATAATCCATCCAAGAATTACCAGGAAGGGAGTAACAAACAGCGCAATCTGCAAACTGCTGCCAATGGCGACACCAATGGCCAGGTCCATCTTATTCTTATATGCGACCACGATGGCCGTGACGTGCTCGGCCGCATTGCCCACGATGGGGATCAGGATGAGACCGATAAACGTCTTGCTGATGTGCGTCGCCTCGACGATGCTGTCGATGCTGCCGACTAGGAACTCGGCGCAGATGGAGACGGCGATCGTGACGATGAGTAGCACGATGCCTGCGGCCCAGGGGTTTAAGATGCGCTCCTCTTCTTCCTCATCAACTGCGTCTTCCCCTCCGTCACCGTTCCGCACCACGCTGCCGTTGTTGGCATTTTCCGCACTACCACCTTCAAAGAGGTCTGTGTGCGAGCACAGCTGGAAGTAGAGGTACATGACATAGAGGACTAGTAGGATGATGGCGGTGCCGTGAGAGAGGATCAGGATGTTGCCGTGGGTATCCGCTTTCGAGTTGGCAAGCGCAGCATAGAGAGTAGCTGGGATGATCAGCGATGCAGATGCCACAGCCATCAGGGACGACATGGTGGACGCTACGGTTGAGTTGAAGGTCTGCTCATGGTGGCGCAGGCCTCCTATCAAGAAGCAGCAGCCCAGCACCAGTAGGATATTGGAGAGAATGCTACCTAGCATGCTGGCTTGGACCACGCGGATCTCGTTATCCTTCAAGGCGACTATACTGACCTATTCCGCGGAAAGTTTATTTTTGTTAGCCAAGCAGTTCTGCGAGACGGGGTAGCCGTAAGCAGGGGATTTATTTTAAATTGGAAACGTGCGAAGCGCATCCACATACAATAAGTTCGACGGCATTTCCAAATGTAGCATTCATCAATCCACCCAAAGTCTCTCCCATAGTCGCAGCCAGTTCCTCCGTCGCAAAGCTCAGCAGCGACGCCAGCGGGATGATCGCGAGGAAGTTAAGGACAAATGTGGTAGTTGGGGACCAGCCTGCTTTACTGGAGGCCATGCCCAGGGGGACAAAGACTAGCAGGAGATTAACATAATTGCTCGCGAGTGTCGTATAGGTCAAACGCGCGGCTTCTGACGGGTAGTGAACCCAGCGGCGATGGCGATGCGACCACAGCAGTCGAGACAGGCGGCCGGATTGGGAGCGGGAACGGGAACGGACACGACCTAGCAAGCCAGTGCGCTCCGTGGGATAGCCATTGCCGTCCGGGCCTTGGGGGTCGTCGAAGCGTGGCATTGAGGAGGCGGTATTGGAGCGGGAATGGGTAAGGGAATGACGGTGGAATTCGTGAGGGATGCGAGTGGCAGCTATTAAAATTGTAGCGGGCAAAATTCGCACGCGGCGGGAAAGGAGACGAAGTCCCCAGCCACAGGGCGGAAAGCGGTCAGGTTAGCTTGAACTTTCGCTTAAGGGATTATGATCATAGAAGGCGAAGTCGCTTTAGCAGTAATCCGTACTCCGTAGTTGGTGCGGTAGACAGAAGAGCAAGCCACAGCTTTGGGTCGGAGTGGGGATGTGGCAGTGAACAGAGATAGATATGCGCGCGGTGGATGCGAGTTTGCCAGAACCCTAACCACCAGTACGCAGGGAAAAAGGAAAGAGGGAAAAGATAGACTGTGTATGGAAGGATGACAATGCGCTAGGGGGAGAAAAGAAGAAGAAGAAGAAGAAGAAGAAGAAGTGTAGAAATGGAAATGTAATTGAATGGACACGAATGAGAAATGCGAAGGAGTTGGGATAGGATGGAAGATGGGCGGATGGGAGACGAGGCACGTAATAAAGTTATCTGGTTAGTTAGGGCAGAAACCAAAAGCCCAAAACCAGAACAAAAGGAGCAAAATTAATTAAGTATTGTTAAAGCGGGTTAAAGCGCAGATGGATAGGTTCTTAGATGGAGAGAATCAACAAATCGAATCGTGAATGTTGCTTACCCATTTGAAGCCAGGAAATGCAACAGCGACGACAACACTCATAATATCCGCCGCACAGTTTCTCGTCCGGGCTTTGGGGATTGGAGTGGATGGATGGAGTCCGTTTGTCTCCGCGCGGCAGGGACCGGGTAATTCGCGCGTTTTGTTTGACTTTTGGCCTGACCGTTTGCCTGGCTGACGATTGTTACAGTCACTAGACCACCTATATCCTACTGGGAGTCTTGTCAAGGCGGGGACATCTCGGGTATGGACGAGTAGCTCGGCTGGGCACTGATGGAGAGCCAGTGGGGGATGCGGGATTGTATAGGGGTGGATGGGGATAAGGGTGAGGAAGACAGCCTGACGCGGGGGACTGGACTTCTCGGCCAGCAACATGTAGTACTGCGTATATACAAAGGAAGCCTGATACGATACGGGACAATAAGGCGATATTGTGACGGTCTGGCTAGCACAAGTTAATTCTCTAGAGTTACCCAGCCAAGCCAGACTGCTCCTTTTCCCCCCCTTTAACCCCGGACGCGGGTTGCCTCAAGGAAGCGACGAGAAGCTGTCTGGGCAGTCCCAGGCTAATTGCCTCTGATGAGGATGATCCCATCTGGTACAGCATTGTCGTCCCCATCTTGGTCCTTTTTGTTCCCCTTGTATCATCGTCAATGGATGGAAGAAGCTACATACACACAGTGAAACACACGCTGACCACAGAAACTAGCAGGGAACACAACACAACTACACAGTACTCGAATGGGTATTCTCGGCGGCAGAGTACAGTACAGTACAAAGGGCTAAAGTTCGACCTTGCTCGCACGCGATGGTGTATACAGAAAACTTGACCTCGCTACATAATCATGACCCCGACCTTGTTGGGGGTCCCGCGGTTGATCGGCCCTTCTACCAGCAGTGCGCTGGTGGTGATTGAGCTTTTTTGTCCCAGTAGCCTACAGGTTATGAGACTGTTAAGCATGAGCTCTCCTGTGGTCA